CTCAAGCTAAGTGTAGAACCCGGTGAGGAATTTTATCATATCAAACCTCGACCATGATTCCACCTAGCCTAAGCAAAATATGATATATATTAATATATAAAATGATAGTGCTCTCAATTAGGATGAGTGTGAGATCTAGTCATGAACTTGCAAAATCCACATAGACTAAATAACACAATCATGCGAATCAAAGAGCTGTTTCTCAATATAATAGAGAGAGAGAAAAGAAAAAAAAACGAAAAGCCATCACAACAATACAAGAAAACGTGCACAATACAGCATGCATATTACATTTAAAAAAAAAGGCTCACCATGCAATCGAACAAGAAAAACATTTGGATTTTCCTAAACTTTTTTTCTTTTTTTACTGACGTCATGATGAATAAAAAAAAATTGTAGACAAAGAAGGACGAATTTCGACGGCAATAACCGTTAAGAACAACGATGCGAATGAACGAACGGACGGACTGGACCGATGCTTGACCCTTTGTACATTCTTTTGTATGTGTTCGCATATACACATGCAAATCATCGTTGTCGAAAAAAAAAGAGAAGAAGAAAAAACCCGTAGACTTGTGCACGCGTCCGACCGTTGTTAGTTGCTGTCGACATGTTTAGATATGTACATTTTTTCTTTTCTCTCGTTTTTTTTGACCGAACATTGACCTGTTTCTCTCTTTCTTTTTCTATGTACTATTTTCACTTAGGACTCGAAGGCTATATACTTATTCAAATACTGATGTGCATGCACTCGCGCGTCTCTATGATTCGTTCATAACATTGTCCCGTTCAATCAACACATCGATAAAGTTTTTCTTTTTTTTTTTTTCTATCCTCGGCCAGACATATTGACCTTAAAGAAGAGAGCGGGCAAATGAAAAGAAGAAGAAAAAAAAATGGTTGGCTCGGACACGGTATGTATCATGTGTCTGAACAACATACATTAGTTGGCTTAAAGCCAAATAAGTATGTACGATGGTATGTGGTGAGTCCACTCCACTATTATCAACACAGAAGCCATTTGTGGTGAAATGAAAGCAAAACAAACGTCCATCGGTCGTCGTCTATGATGTTCGAGAGTGAAGTAATTGGCCCAATCTCTCACGATAAGAAATAACATACCCGAAGAGACTGACCGACGATAATAATAGGCTTCATGTATCATTCGGTTTATTTTCATTTGAATTTGTGTCCAAACGAATTTACTCCTTCGGCTAACTCCTTAGAGCGAACAAACGAAAACTATAAAGAAAGATTAGTCATGTTATGTTTGTTTGACGACAATTTCATGTTTTTGTTTTTTTTGTACTTTTCCGGGGTTACTATTTAAATGCTCTTTGTTTTTGTTTTGTTTTTATATTGATCAAGAAAGATGAGTTTAATTGGTACTAATCAATCACACGTTATCTAGATATTTCATGTCAACACGTCACTTGAATCATGAATAGTGATGATCTGTTGCATTAGAGAGAGAAAAAAAAACGAAAGATTCAAAATAGTTTAATAATGTAAGAAAAAAAAAATCAATGAAGTTCTTTTGTGAAAAAGAAAAACCCAAATGTTATATTATTCTGTTGATGCCAGATTGATTTGGTCAATAGCAGACGCAAGTATATTCGAAACTATAACTGTAGCTTGTTGACGAATATGTTCAAGAATAATTGAACTATCTTCTTGACTATTTTTCTCAATATCTTCTTCTTCTTGTTCATAATCATAATCAATAGATTCATGAGGAATAGAATGTTGCTGTTGTTGTTGTTGTTGTTGTTGTTGTTGATAATGTTGATCATTATCTGTAGTAGTTATTAATTCATATTCATCTTCATGTTGTTTATTTGTTGTTGTTATTATTGGTGGATTAGATTCATTGGCCAAAGAAAATGAAACTTTATTAGCAACATAAGAAACACTACTTTGTTGTGCTGGTGATTGTTGTTGTTGATGTTGAGATTGACGACGATGACGACTACTACGATGTGTTGATGAAGATGATATAGCTCGTTCAAGAGAACGTCGACCTGTATAGAAAAACAAAAATAAATAAATTCATAATTTTAGAATATTTTTTTCTATTCGAACTTCGTTTTCGTTCAGGCATTTGACTACCAACATCAACATATCGTTCAGGATCTTAAAGAATAAATCAATGAAAATTTCTTTCATAAGAATAATTTGTTTTTACCTTTAATTTTTGGTAATTTAGTACGTTTTCCAAAATTTGTTGGTTTTAAATTTGATTGTCGACTTGAACTTCTTTCATATCTATTTGTTAAATCTTCTAAATCTTCTTCATGTTTTCTTTCACCAATTAAATCATAACTTAAATCTTTTCGTGATGTTTCTCCACCACCACCACTTGAACTTGAACGTTGTTGAGCTTGTAGAATTTCACGAAATTTTTTAAAATGTGTTGCTTTTATATCAACTTGTTCAGGATTATTTCGATTAATAAATGTTCCATATTTAAGTAAAATTTTTGAATCAACTGTATCAAAACGATTATAACGTGCACCCGTTAAAAAATAATGGCTATTATGACCATCAGTTGTTTGAAAATCAAATTTTTTTTTAATACGATGTAATTTTTGTTGTTGTTGTTCAACACAACGTCTATAACGTTGTTTTTCAATATTTGTTAAATTTGGTTCATATACACGATTTAAATGTTCAAAATTTGAATTCATTGTAATATATCGATTTAATATACTAGAGATAAATAAAAAACAAAATATTTTTTGGCTATGTTCGAGTCAAATTATCATTCTTTTATCACTAAACTGTACCATGAAAGTGCAAGCATAGGTAGCAGAGCTACACGACTTAAATAAACTGAACCCTACTCTATATTCAGGTATCATAGGGTCAAACGCATTTTTTTCTCATTCTATTAGATTAATAGATTGATGCAATCCAAAAAAACGTTCAATTTCATATGACTAAATGTTTGGATTTATATTGCCAACGAATTGAAGTAGTACTCTTTCGTTACAAGGAAAGAGGAATTGTACGGCACACTCATCTTAGATAAATTATAAGCTACCGAAAGTTTCTAAATATCAAATCACGTTTGAGTCAGGACGATGTATATCATGTAGGTTCTAATGAGTTATGAATATCTTGAAAAGACTTCGCGTTAATAGTTTATTACTCCCGAGATACTATATTTTTTAGCAGAATGATGTGATCCTCCTCAAGAAAACTGAGGTTCGTCCTGAAACTTTGCATAGAAACACATCTTAATGAGAATAATTTATTGTAAAAGTTTTAGATCTTTTGATTGCTTCTATCCTAAAATAATACAATATATTGGCAATAATAAGTTATTATTCCGATCTCTTTTCAGAGCGTTTATAGCTTATTACAGCCTATATGATGCACATAGTCCCGACTCAAAAGTGCTTTGACACTTAGAAACGTTCCCTCGTCAAGTTACGTGTCTAAGAAACATTTTCAAGAAAATGAGCAAACTCACAATGCAATTTCTTTTTGTTTGTGAACACTGCTGCTTTAATATTAATTCTGTTTTTCAGTGAAGTAGATAGAAAACTCGCCTTTCGAGAGTCAAAATAAAATAAAGACAAATGTTGGCGGGTTTCTTTAAGTGCACTTTTTTTTCTACAAGTTATGAAGTTTTTTTTCTGAACTCTATTGGCCTTGTTTATAGCATAAAATATGGATAGGAAATAAGCAGCACTAATTCTTTTTCATCTGACTGACATAAATAGATTTGCCACCTCTTTATTCTTGACTTTCCGGAGGGAATATGTTAAAGATTATGAAGTCTATTCTAGATTCAAAATATTCCCCTGCCTATTCATTCAAGAACTGTCCACATCTGTTTTTATGCAACCATTAAATTTTTCAAAAAAGTGAATTCGTGATCAATAAATTTCTGCGAGGTTCTGAAAAATTTAATTATTGTAAAAAACAAATTTCATTTGAATGATTCTTGCATTATCATGTTCCCATGTCAAGATTGAATATGTTCGATCAAATATTCGTCATGAACAGTTCATATTTTGAATCCTTTTGTGTAGGAGGATGATACTCATAATTTTGATTGTAAGGTAACGATTTTTGTTTATTTTAGTTTGTTAGGACGGATAGTGCTTTGAAATTAATTGAAGCATAAAGGAAAAATTTATGAATAGAAAACAAAAATAGCAATTACGGGTTAAACTGAATATGAATAAACTAATAAAAATAATATTTAGGTCATGATGATCGAGTTTCATGTTTTAATAAATATATATTTAGATTTTTAAGAATTTTCGAACAAATAAACTTTTCGTAATGTATACTTACTCAGTTCGACGAGGTAACCGAAAGGTTTCCGTTTCATATAGATTATCATTACGAAATTTTAATTCTGTATCAGATAGATATTGAAGAAGAGGATTTGTATGTATCGGTTGTTTTTCTTGATGTTTATAATATGTTTCATAATTAAAATGTGGAGCAGGTGATGTATTTCGATGTTCTTTATTGCCATAGATATGGCTAGAATTACTCTAGAGAAATATTTTTTATTCGAATAATGTATATATATATATATATATTTCTTATTTTTTGCTTTGTTATTTTTATTTTTCTTACCTTATGTACAGTCGTCATAATTGTACCTTCTATATTAAAATTTCTCTTTTGTTTTTTTTTCTCACAGTAAAAAATTTATATTTGCTTATCGAATACTTTCATTTCTACCAATAGTTGTCTTAGTAACAACCTCCTTTATTTCTATTCAAATATTTCTTTTATTTCTTTTTTATTTTTTATTGTCCTTCTTTCATCTTTCTATATTCAATACCCAATCTGTTATAAAACAAAAAAAAACGCATACACACGTTGAGCAAAAAATAAAATAAGATAACTCAATAAATCAAAAGAAAAATAATAGAATTTATATTTTTTTTGTATAATCAACAAAATCTTGATTTTTCTTTTCATATAATAACAGTAATATTCAATCTAACGTCGTAGAATTTCTTGTATATTTCCTAATGTCGACGTCGTTTACCACCAGCAAGTAGATCATATCCATTCATTTCCTTGAGAATAAAAAATAAAATAAAACCATATTGTTTTTATTCATGAAAAAAAGAAAATATTTACAAAACAGCATGATTTATTATTATTATTATTCTTATTGGAAATTGGATAAAATGGTGTTTCATTGTCACTATCATCATCATCATCATCATCGTCCGATAATCTCGTTGAATAAAATAAATCAGGTTCACTACTACTTGAATCGTCTGATGAAGTCTAGGTTATATAAGATTTAACAAGTATTACTTTTTGATATTTTTCTGTTTTCAATACAAACTTCACTCCGTTGACGTTTGAATGAACCAAGTAAAGGGAATCGACTAAATGAATTAGATACTATTTGAGATCTTTGATCAGATGATTCATTATTATTTATTGATATTACATTATTCAGATTATTTTCTACATCTAAAAACAAAAACATATGATTATACTAGTGAGTGATACGAAATAATGAATAACATACCTCCTACATTTTCAATTACTGGCCGCAATGGTGATGAGTTTATAAGACGTTGTTGTTGAGTTCCTTGTATGGCAAGAAGAATATTTCTTTCATCGTCATCATCATCATCATCATCATCATCATCATCAGAACTTGCTGATGACGATGATGATGATGATGATGATTCACTACTACTACTGACAGGTAAAACTAAAGAAGATGATTGTGCTGTTATATTGAATTCTTGATTTCGTGACATTGATGATGAACTAGCAGCAGTAAGTGAAATATTGGAATTTTCATTCCATATATTAGGTGAGGATAAAAAAGATGGTCGTTGTTTGTGTCTTATTAAATATTGAGCTAGACGCCAATCATTTTCCGCTAGAAGAAACAAAAAAAAGTATATATGTATTTTTTTCTTTTTATTTTGATAAAATAATTACATGATAGCATAGCACCGAAAAGTTCATCAACGGTAGCTGGTAATGTATTTTCAGGTGGTAAAAGAATTTTAAGTAATTGTAATGCATGTTTAACTGTTCGTGGTTTCATATTAGCACGTAAGATGACATCAGCTATTTCACGTACAGCTTGTTTTCGTGTTATTTTTGATTCAGCATATAAGAGAACATCGGTAATATTCTAGATTTTAAAAAAAGGTTTTTTTTTTTGTTAAAATTTTTTTTGTTATTGAATATGATTTTTACATGATTATCATTATTTGATGAATTATTATTGTGTATTTGAGATGATTGAATCATATTCGATGACATAGTGTTGATGATTGAAAACAAATCTACAATATTCTAATAGAAAGAATAAAAGAACATATAGTTTTAACAAAAAACAATTAAGATTATCTTCAATTATTTTCTTAACAAAATTAAACATATTGCATTGATTAAATAAAATCATTAATATTATTTAGTTTCTATCTATTAAATCAAGATTCTCAACAATTGCTAATTGTTTCATAAAATTCATATAAACTTTTCACTTAAACGTAGATATAATATAATCAAATATCGATATTCTCCATCAGATGATTATCAAACATAACTGAAGATTCTATTTTATCAATAAATAGTAATAATAATACTAGAAATTAAAAAAAAAAAAGAATCGAATTATTAGACATATGAAATGTCCAAATCTCTCTCGCACTCTTTTTTTTCTGTTTGTTTATATCAAGAACAATGAACATCAACGTACATAGACAAACAAAACAATTGAACTTTCACAGAAGTTAAGAATAAAAAAAAAACCAACGCACAAACAAACAAATTTAAGAACATGTTACAGAACAAAGAAAGACTCATTTTTCGATCTCATTTTCATTACTATTTGTATCCTTATTTATTGATGTTTTATCGGTAATAAATGGATTTTCATAGACCATATTTTTTGATGTCGGTTGTAATAATGGTATGTCATCCGAAGCACGCCTATAATTATCAATAAATGGATCAAATGAATATATCAAAGTGTTCTTACCATTTGTTATTCACCCATTTATAATTACGAGCAGATGGCAATGGCATACGAGGATGTGAATACATACAATTTGGACGCATACATTGAATACCAAATTTACATACCTAAAATTAAAAATTTATAAAATCAAAAACTTATTACAATTAAATTGATTTTATGGTTAAAGGGTGATCAATCGGTTATGAATTAAAAATTTTCAATGTCTACTCTCAGGTAAAAAAATCAACCTATATGTTGAATCAGGAATATTGAAAAGAGAACCCATTAAACTTGAGAAAAACACCAGGCGAAACTTTATTTCTAATATGTAATCTCGTATCGCTCTGAACGATTTAATCTAAGGGAATGTGTGGTGTTCGTGTAAATATTGATAGTGAGTTACTGACACAGACATCCACATTCGCTGCAACATTGAGACACTAACTCTATCAAAATATGCCTTTTTTGCAGCGGTATGTACTAACTACACTGAGTCAGTGGTTTGTAAACTGAACATCCCAAATTCAATCACTAAATTTCGAATCAAAGTTGAATCAATAATCTATTGTATACATTTTTTTTCTTTCTGAATAAATTTGGGTACTTGTAAAAACTGCAAAAAAATAACGTAGAGTTCGAAACAAATATTATATAGACACTTATTGTAGACTACATTTTTTGTTTTCAACTAAAATATAGCCTTTTTCTGTACAGACCCAGATACTCATGATTACTTTGGTTTTTCCTTGTATTAAAATACTTTACAATTAAAACCAAGGTAACCATGGGTGTCGGTGCAGTTTTTACGCGCACTCAAAAATTACCTATCGTTACCTTGATATTTATGTGTAAAACATCCTGTATAAGGAAATATCAAAATAACCATGCGTGTCCGGGAAGTGTCTATGAGTGTTCGGGAGTATCGGTGGAGCATCTATTGGTGTTCTCAGAATGTCTATGGGTGTCCGTGGAATGCTCAAGGGTGTCCGGGGGTGTTCGTGGAGTTTTTAAGGGTCTCCGGAACTGTTCGTGAAGTGTTTATGAGTGTTCTCGGAATGTTTATGGGTGTCCCTAGAGTGTTTAGAGGTGTCCGGGGGATGTACACGGAGTATTTCTGTCTACAAAAATGGCTATATTCCAGTTTAAAACAAAAAGCACAGTCCATAATAGGTGTCCATAGTTTTTATCAGCACTCGATAGATTTCGATACAAATCTATATTTGTAAGATGAGAATACAAATTAAATATGTTTTTTAGACTATGATTAATAAAGAAAATATCGAACGAAAGAGATCAATAGATTTATTTCATCTCAGAGATATTCTATAGAATATTTTGTTTTAAAAACTTACAACTGAACTTTCCGATCGATTTATTATTGATGATCGTCCAACAGTTGTATTATTATTATTATTAGTTGATGAAGGTGATGATGCAGGAGTTGATACTGAATGTAAATAAGGACAATTAGTTCTTGTACATACACTACCAAAACGGCATGGTGGATGAATATATAAACATTCTGCACCATATACACAATTAGGAAAATGTCTACAATAAAGAAACCAATTAAAAAAAACAATAATTCTCAGAGAAAAAGTTTAATTTACATGCAACGTTGAGTTGGATGAACAAATTCACATTGATCACCATTATGACAATCAGGCCAAAAACGACAACGTTTTAATTTTTTCATTGATGTTGATAATTGAGTTGTTTGTGGAGAATATTGTTGTTGATCATTATCATCTGACATCATATCATCACTTAATTTACGTTTAAATGTTCCATTTCCTCGTCCATCGTCATATTCATTTGAATTTATATTATTTCCATTATCATTATATGGATAATCATTTAACATCCAAATATTATTTATATCATCACCAGTTTCATAATCATTATTGACAACAACAATAAACTAAAAAATATAAAAAAAAAAAAAACAAAAAGATTTTGTTTTTGCTCTAAATTCAAAATTCATATAAATATTACTTCATCTTCTTCATCATCTTCAAATTCCATTGGTGATATATGTTGTTCATCATTTAATTTATTATCATCTGTTGTTGAACAATATTCATTTCGAATACGAATTTTCATTTTACCTAATGTTGGTTCAGCTTTATTAACTAAACTTGTTGGATCAATCCATGTTGGTTCTTTAGCTTTTAAACGTTTAGCTAATGTTCGTGTTGTTAAACATTCTGTTGTACCATCAGGTTTCATAACTTTAACAATACCATTTGTTTTATTTAATTTCATTAAAACACTTTTATTTGCATCAGAAACAGCTTGTAAAAGAAGTTTTTTTGTTGGTTCATTTTCACGTTGTTTACGTTCATTATTTTGATTATAATTTGATTTTATTGATGATTCTTGTTGTTTATTATCATTCTCATATTCATTATTATGTAAAATTGTTCCTATTTGAGAATAAAGTGTACGTTGTTTTTTATGTACTGGTTCATTATCACTAAGACAACGACCACTTTTTAATATACGATTAACCGATGAATCAAGTTCAAGTTTACGACCACTAGATAATATTCTATATGAACTTTCATTTGCCATTATTATATCTAGAATATAAAAAAAACAAACAAACATTGGGATTGCTTCATGTACTAGGAAATCAGGTGGAAAAAAAAGAAAACATATGATGATAGAATTATGTTTGACTATTGAGTGCATCAGTTATAGCTGATGTTGCTTGTTGAGTATTGGATGATGATTTTTCTTCATTTTTATATAAATTTGGATATTTAGAAAAACATTCATTTAATTTTGAAAATTCTGAAAAACATTCAGAACCTTTAGCTTTTGAATCACTATTATGAAAACACGTAAATGCTCGACGAAATGCTATACCACATGGACCTGAAGCCATACCACCAAGACATGGACAATCCCAATTAATTGAACCATTTGGTAAAATTAAACCTTAAAAATAAAATATATAAAACATTATTTAATGTATTAAGAATATATTTTTATCCAATTGATATGAAAATTGATTTATAGATTTCGTAAGTTATGATTTCATATTATTAAGAAAAGAAAATCGAATACTATTAGATTATTTGAATTCTGTAAGATAGAAATCTTCTAGAATATTATTTTTTCTATTCAACAAATTTTTCTCATATAAAAACGTCACTTTGCAAAAATAATTTTGTTTAGTCTATTCATAGAATTCGATTAGAAAAACAAAACTCGGTATTTTGATACTTGATAAGCTTAATTAAAATAATAAATATGCTGTCAAAAACTAGTATATAATATGTTATTCGATCCAATAGTTTCCATATATAAATTCGATGAAAAAAACCTAATTACTACTGGTAAAAATAAAAAAAAAACTTTACAGTATTAGTAACAAGAAAAAAAAATTTTTTTCAATTAAAATAAACATACCATGTTGTTCCCATGGATCAAATGGTTCATCTTCTTTAGTTTTAATTGTAGATGGAGAACTTAAATCATTTTTTGTTAAAAATATAACTTTATCTTTTCCATCATCTAAATAATTAATTTTAGAAAAAAAATATTAAATTATTTTGTTTGTTTTTATTAATCATACCTTGTTTTGTACAAAACGACATTTTCAATACAAGACAGCAATGTAAATGATTCAAACGATTTTGTTTCTTCAAATGACAGACAGTTGGTAAAATGTGATATACACATATATAGGAATGGCTAGGATAAATACCAATAAAAAATTTGTTTCTATCCTCTTTGAAAATAAACCAATCGATAGACGATTTTCTTCTTGTGGAAAAACAAGAAGAAATTAATCTAGGTACTGTTTCGATTGTTGTTTCAGAAAGAGAAAAAAAATCATGTTCTTTGTCTTTTTTATTTATATTTATTTTTCAATATTAAATCAATTAATTAAGTATCATTAGATTTATTTATTTATTTTTCTCCTCCTTGCGGAATTTTTTTCATTGAATCCTCTCGTTTTTGTTATTTCATCAATTCTGTCAGAAGGAAAAAAGAAAGATAAGAGATTACATAGTTATGACCGCACAAAAGGAAGAGAGAGAGAGAGAGAGAGAGAGAAACAGGAGCAGACAGACACAAAGAGAGAAATCTTCAAAATATGTATGGATGGTTTATCATTCATTGCGGCAAGTTACTTTCTTTTGCGTTCTTTATGCATCAATCTTATTCTTTTAATGATGTTGCGTGTATGTGTATTCTAGGAAACCTCGTAAGAAAATAGAAAGAGAGACAGAGAGAGAACAACGCGATGAGTGAAGGAAAAGATTATAATACGAACAAATACCGAGGCATATAGGTATGCGAGTCTATCGCTGTCGTATGAACAAGCGAACCTTTGCTCTTTGATGACACATCATACTAGTCTAAGTATAGACACAGATTCGAATGTTTGTCTGTATTATAGAAATATCGTAAATATTCGTTTTTGAAAGTGTCTATTGTCTCTTCTTGTAAGCTATTTTTAGTAACTTGTTCATCAATTAAAAAGATTCAATATCATATAAGAGAAGGACACAGCATGTTATCTTAACGAGCACTACTATCATATTTATCAATCGTAAGATGAGACATAATATTTTTATCTGTATCAAGTCTTTCTTTTTTTCTTTTTTTCGTTTCTGATTTTTTTTTCCGAGGACTTAAGCACATACAAAAAAAAACGGGATGACATTGAGAAAACCAACAAGATACAAGGATATCATTTATTAGACATGTTCCCTGTATCATTATCATTATTTATATTGTGTACTTTCCGTGCTATAGATTGAAGTCGATACGAAGAAAAAGAAAGAGAGACACACACACACACACCAAGGAAAAGAGAAAAAAAAAGAACAACCACCAACTGCCTTATGTTTGTTACCGGTCAATCAAATTAGTTTTGTATATGCAAGAAAAATACATTTCTTTTTTATTTGTCTATTTGAACTGATTACTGCGTAGACGCTCCCTCTCTAGCACTTGTTTTGAAAGAGCTTAGAAATTTTTATGATTCTTTGACGAGAAAAAAAAAATCATTTATCAATTCGCTCGATTAAACAAGACAATTAACACGTGTCTATATACTATTCAGCTTCTACTAAATAACAATATATATACATTATATGATGCACACACGCAGCATGTTTACCCCACTTTTTTTTTTATAACCTATCTTTCGTATTTTTCTTGTTCTGTTTAATGGTAGTTTCAATGACTCTAGTATTTTCTTTCATAAAATAGGCACGTAGGTAAAAAGAAAGAAGTATTTTAAATGACTCACATAGACCAAAAAAAAAACAAGTTATAAAAAACGAACGTGAGTAAACTTTCTCTCTTTTAGATGTACTATTCTTTTAACAGCATCATTGACTAATATAATCATAAAATAGAACACAAAAAAAAAAAAAGATGAGTGCTTATCATTATGAATCTAATGAACATAATGGAATATCATTGAAACAGCAACGAGCTGGAAGTGGTGGATATTCTCAACAAAATTCAGTTGATGAGTATATGGTGCCAGAAGAAGAGTGGGAACGTGAAGCTGTACTTGATCCAGCATGGGAACGACAACAAAAAAAAGTAATAAATTATTTCCAAAAAAAAAAAAAATAAATTTTTTTCTATTAAATAAAATTTCTTTATATAGACATTTACTGCTTGGTGTAATTCACATTTACGTAAAGTTGGTACATCAATTGAAAATATAGAAGAAGATTTTCAAAATGGTCTTAAATTAATGCTCTTACTTGAAGTTATTTCAAATGAACAACTTCCTAAACCTGATCGTGGACGAATGAGGTTTATAAAATAAAAGAAAAATGAAACAAATGAATTTGTTTAATTATGTATATATATATTTTTTTTTTTTCATATTTAGATTTCATAAAATAGCAAATGTAAATAAAGCATTAGATTTTATTGCAAGTAAAGGTGTTAAATTAATGGTTGGTGCTGAAGGTAATAAAAGAAAAAAAATTTAAAATATTGTTTAAACTTATATATTAAATTTTTAGAAATTGTCGATGGAAATTTAAAAATGACATTAGGAATGATATGGACTATTATTTTACGTTTTGCTATTCAAGATATTTCAGTTGAAGGTAAATAAAAAAAAAAACAAACTGTTTAAATTTCAGATATATATATATCTAATTTTATTTATTATATAGAAATGTCTGCTAAAGAAGGTTTATTATTATGGTGTCAACGTAAAACATCACCATATAAAAATGTCAATGTACAAAATTTCCATACAAGGTTAATTAATATATAAATTAAAAATTTATCTTTTTTTCTTTTTATGATTATAATTTATTGTAGTTTTAAAGATGGTCTTGCTTTTTGTGCACTTATTCATCGTCATCGTCCTGATTTACTTGATTATAATAAATTGACTAAAGTAAGTTATTGTATAAAATCAATTCTTAATTTATAAATAGCAAGCTCAATTGATTTTAATACTTTTTAGGATGATCCTTTAACAAATTTGAATCTTGCTTTTGATATAGCTGAAAAACATTTAGATATACCAAAAATGCTTGATGCCGAAGGTAAGTATTTTCCACGAATTTCTTTTTTGTTTTTTTGAATTTCTACAAGAAAAACTAAACTCACTAAGTTAAACAGATATGGTCGATACTATTAGACCGGATGAAAAGTCAGTTATGACATATGTCAGTGCTTATTATCATGCATTTGCTGGCGTTTATAAGGTGCTGTAAAAAAAAAAAGAAAAAAAGAAAAATAATGTTTTGCTGTGAGAGCATGAATTTTAAATTATCCTTTTTTTAATTCCTTGAAGATTATTTCCTGCATGATTTTGTGTGATGTGTTTTGTTTTATAGAAATTAATAACAGCATAAAAGCGGATGAAAAAGTTGTGATGACATATGTATCATCATATTATCATGCTTTTTCTACAACACAAAAGGTAATTTTGCTTTGTTTTTTATTTGCAACATAGATTTTATTCGTAATAAAATAAAAATAAAAATATAAGATAATAATTTCTTATTATTTTTCTAGGCTGAACAAGCAGCTAGTCGTATATGTAAAGTATTGAGTATTAATCAAGAAAATGAACAAATGATGGTTGAATATGAAGGATTAGCATCAGATTTACTTGAATGGATTAAAGAAAAACGTCCATGGTTAGAAAATCGTGCAACTGATAATACACTTGATGGTACACAAGCAAAATTAGGTGATTTTCGTGATTATTGTCGTTCACAAAAACCACCAAAATTATCACAAAAAGCAAAACTTGAAACTGATTTTAATACACTTCAAACACGTCTTCGTCTATCGAATCGACCAGCTTTTACACCAACTGAAGGCAAATTAATTGCTGTAAGATAATTAAGACAAATAATATCATCTAAATAAATCTTCTTTATTTTTTTCTTTGTTTTAAGGATATTGTCGAAGCTTGGAAAGGTCTTGAATTAGCTGAAAAAGGTTTTGAAGATTGGTTATTAAGAGAATTACGTCGGTAAGAATTCTTACTTAATAGTAAAATGTTTTCAATAATAAAAAATCACTATCTTTAGTTAGAAACATTTGCACTCAGGGATGTGCAATGTTGGTATAAAATATTGAACAGTGAGTCATCGACAGAAGTTCACTAGGCCATTGATTACGCTAGCATCTGTCTTTTGCTGCAAAATTAAGACACTAACCCTATCAAAATACATCCTTTTTGTAGTGGTGTGTTATGCTGTGCACTAACTACATTGACCACGGAACTTTTCTAAGTGACAAATCATATTTAAGTCAGGACTATGTACATCATGAAGGTTCTAGTAAGCTATGAATGTTCTGAAAAGAGTTCGAGTTAATGGCTTAACTAATCTGGTTTAAATCGACCGGGTTCGGATCCAGGTCCAAGAAGAGACAAGTCTTTATGAGAATAGTTTATTGTGAAAGTTTCAGACCTTTTGATCATAGTTGTATCTTAAGATAGAAGCAATCAAAAGGTCTGAAGCTTTTACAATAAACAATTCTCATTACAAAGTGCCTCCATGCAAAGTTCCAAGTTGAAATTTAAAATTCAATTTTCCTGAGGGAGATCATAGCATTTTGATAAAGGATACAGTATCTCGGTTGGAGCTCATCGGGCTCAAGAATTTTTGGATTCGAACCTGATTGATTAATCTTTTGTGGAAAGAACTCATCGGGACCAAAAATTTCTGAACTCGGACCTGGTCGATTCAAGCTCGACGGGCTTTAATCTCGGCTGTAGTAAGCTATTAACTCGAACTCTTTTCTAGATACTCATAGTTCATTAGAACATACATCAGAGCTGAAATCGGTTCGATAGACATCGGAGTTTCACGAGTTGAAAGTTTCGAAAAATCTTCTTTGTTAATCTTGTTTTTGGTCATAAACACTAAAGTGTCAGCTCTGATATACATAATGCATATAGACCTGACTCAAAAGTAATTTGATACTTAGAAACGTTTCTCCGTGGGTCCGTAGTCAGCAAACCTAAACTACACTTTCCTATTTGGACTCATGAGATAACGTTTTCAATTGATCAATCGCTATATTGAATTTCATACATATCAGAAAGGAGAGTTGAAATTTTCTGGGTATTCTACTGACAAATAGA